TGGCCTCGAACTCACAAAGATCCGCCTGCCTCTGCCTCCCGAGTGCTGGGATTAAAGGCGTGCGCCACCAACGCCCGGCTTCTTCTTTTTTTAAAATTTTCTTTCTTCCTCTTATTTATTTGAGATAGGATCTCAGGTATCACAAGCTAGCCTCAAACTGGCTATGACTAGGAGTGATCTTGACCTGTCTGGTTCCATCTCCCAAGTGCTGGGAGTACAAGCACATGCCAGTGCTGAGGATCCAACCCAGGATCCCAGGCAGCCACATTCCTAGCTGAAGTCTGGCACTTTCTGACTGTTCTGTCCTGTTCACTGGCAAAGTACCAACTGTGGTGACCCCCCACACTCTACACACACACACGTACGCACGCACACACGCACACACACACATACACACACATACACACACACACACACACACACACGCACACACACGCACACGCACACATATGTGCAAACCCTAAGACCAGCATAGGGCTGAACACAGCAGTTGTTCAATAAATGCTTTCTGCATGAAAAAGTCACTTTGAGGAGTTAGGTGCCCAGGTACCTGATGGTGGTGAAGACAGTGGGTGGTACCTAGGGCCCACAGATGTCACAGGTATGTCACCTCCTTGGCCACAAAGAACAATGAACATCAGGACTATCCCAGACTGCCTTCCCGCCCTGTCTCCAGAGCTGTGCCCACCCTCGCTGTTTCTTCTAGCTTTCCTTCAGCCACATCTAGATGCTATTTCTACCTCTTGCCGTTGAGGCACCTTGACCGTCATTCTGTTTCAATGTCACGAATGAGACACAGGCCCAGGGGCGGGTGATGCAAGGGTTTTCCCCAGGATTCCCCAGAGGAGGAGATGGTGGAGGAGGAGGCTGCCCTCACCCAGCGTAGCCAGCACGTGGCGGAGCTCTGCGCCCATCACTGTGCCGTTGCCCTCCTTGTCGAAGACCCGCAGGCCCTCCACAAAGTCCTCGTACGTGCCGGTGTCCTTGTTCTTGGAGATGTGCTGGAGCATGGGCAGGAACGTTTCGAAGTCCATCATCTTGGAATTGAGGTCTGCAGACAGATGGCCCCAAGTCTCAGGTGAGAGGATGGACAGGTACAGCCTTCCCCTGAGCCTGACGCTGAGGGGCCGTCCCGCTCCCGTGGTTCCTGCGCACTCTGATGTATGTGCTGTGCACAAACTGTGTCACCACCACAAGGCACTTGGCAATCTACTGACAAACACTTGGTTTACACAGACCTTTGCCATCCCAAGTGGGGTTAGTGGGGTTCAAGGTGGGCTCTGTTCTCTACTCCTCTCTCTGTCTCTGTCTTCTCTCTCTCTCTCTCTCTCTCTCTCTCTCTCTCTCTCTCTCTCTCTCTCTTCCCTCTTCTCTCTTCTCTCTTCTCTCTTCTCTCTTCTCTCTGTCTCTGTCTGCCTCTGTCTCTCTCTCCCTCTCCCTCCAGGATCTTACTACATATCTCAGGCCACTCTGAAACTTACCATGTAGACCAGGCTGGCCTCAAATTTATGGCCATTCCCTTGCCTTTACCTCCCCAGTGTTGGGATTAGAGGTATGCACTACAACATCTTTATATTTTAGACTTTGAACATGTACCACCCTGAACTGTTTATGTAGTACCAGAGATCAGACCCAGGGCTTCAAGTAAGCTAGGCAAGTATTCTACCAACTGAACAACATCCCCAGCACCCCTCCCCCTTTTTGAGATATGGTCTCACTCTGTAACCCAGGCTATCCTGGAACTGTGTAGCCTAGACTGGCTTCCAAGTCACGGTGATTCATCTACCTCAAACTCTTGATTGTTGGGTTTGTTGGCCTATATTGCCGTGTCAGGTTTCATTTCTTATAGACCTTACCCTGCCCACCCCCTGTGGACACAGCTGAGCCCAACAGAGGCCTTCCCTGGACCTATGATGTGGGCCTGGGTGTCATTCTTTGAGTCAAAGCAAGCAGCCAAGGTGAGGGAAGTTGACAAAGACCCACAAAGGGATGCTGAGGAGGCTAGAATCGGGGAAAAACAAGCACCCATGTCCCCTGACAGACCCTGCACCAGTATGGATCCCGGGTAGTACAAGGGTCCATCCCCATGGCCAGGAAAGATCCAGAATGCCCATCATGCTTGTCTCTCATCACCATGACCCGGTAGCCAGCCTTACATCCTCATCCCAACAGCAGGAGAAAATCAGGAAGCAGGTCAGTGAGGTTCCCATGATACCAGATAGCCACCCACCCTGGCAGTCTCCCCTGGGCCTGGCACTAACAGGCAGGGTGTACTACCTTCCTGTTTGGGCTTCCCCAGGACACGGAGCACCTCTGCCTGGGTAGGATTCTGACCCAGAGCCCGCAGGACATCCCCACACTGCCCATACGTGATCTTCATCTCTCCCTTGGGTGTGCGGTCAAACAGCAGAAAGGCTTCCTTGAACTCTGTGGGAAAGGGCAGTGAGCTCTGGGTTCTCTCTGGGGGGCCCCACCACCCTCCCCACCCCACTGGTTTGAATTGGGAACCCCTGGTCCACCCCTACCACTCCCTGGGCTCAGGACTCTGCTCACCTTCAATCTGTTCAGGCGTGAATTCGATCTGCAAAGAAGTCCAAAGATGGGGTACTTTTGGGTCATCATGGGCCACCTAGGTCTCAGGCCCTTGGCTGTGCCAGCCTGTCGTCATAGCAACAGCACAGCCTCTACCTCCTAGGACCTCATGCCGTCTACCCAGACACCCTCCTGCAGCTGCAGCAACTACACACACATCTGTCCAACCTATGTGTAATCAGATTGTAATATCAGTCAGGCCACGGAGTCTATGCTCAATGTCACAGGCCTGACCAAGCTGACTGTGAGGGGAGGAGCAAGCACACGGCTTCGGGCCAGAGGCTGTGTCAGCAGGGAAGCATGTGTGTGGGTAATCAAGTGCGAATGCTTGTGCACATATGTGTGTCTATCTCTCACAGATCCCCTTGGGGCCCTCAAGGCTGGACACTCATCCACAAAGCCCTCCTGTATCTACCCTTTACATTTTGCCTGTGGCCCCAAGGTGGCTCCCCCACTCCAGCACATATAGGGCTATGTAGCTTTCTGGTGACATAATGGGGCCACCCTGAGGTCAGGAGGCCTCCCGGGACCCAGTAGCCCCCTCCTCATCGGTTTCCAGTCTATTTTTATCACTGCTGTCACTCTCCCCAAAGTCAAGGTCACACCAGCGAATGGAGCCTGGGGAAGAGGGTATGACTGGCTCCTGAGAGTCCCCCACAACCTCCATAGTGCACAGCACAGTGCAGAAGGACACCCCATCCCTGTCACCTGCTGGGGGTGACCCTCCGATTTGAGGCTCAACCTGTGGTATTGAGAAAAACCACATCCCGGCTCTGGGAGCTCTCTGTGGGAAAACCTGGGGAGACAAGGCTCCCTGGCCTCTGGAAAGGGCTCTGTCTGTCCTTCTCTGCCAACTGGAGAGAGAGAAAGACAGAGAAGGGGGCCTTTGCATCCCCCTCTTTTGAGGCATAAATTTGTGCCAACCTCATGCCTGGATAATGCCACTATGGGTCTCAAGGTGGCTGCTGGGGCCTTACAAGGCATCCTCAGGGACACATAAAGGGGCCTAAGGGTGGCAGAGGAACAGAGAGCCAATTCTAGGGTACAGTGGTCTTACAAGTGGGGCTCATCATCCCATTTCACAGTTGAGGAAACAAAGGATCAGAGCAGCTGAGACGGAATTGAGCTGGGATACAAACCCAATGAACACAGGCAGGTGCCCCTGGGAAGGGTACATGACCAGATGGAGGCCCTGTAGCAGTGGTTCAGGGCTCGGTGGATGTGTGTGGGTGGAAAGGAGTCCACAGGCCCCTGCAGAGGCGGCCAGAGAGGCAGTGGCTGCTGGCCAGCTGAGAACAGGACGCAGGCTGCGTGCTGCTATGCGGATGCCACAGGTGGCGGGCATGGCTCGCTCTCCCAGTTTAGATTCTGGGCAAGACAACTGGGCCAGGAAAGGCCTGGTGCCGCTTAGTCGTGCTCCACGGCCAGCTTCCTGCACGACTTTCAGAGCCTCCCTTTCCAGCCCGTTCCTCCGTTTTCCCAGTTAAGAGTGAAGCCCAGGAGGGTTCCGCCCGCGGTGGGCTTGGTGATCTTGGCAGGAGTGAGTGTCACCCAGCCTGGGCAAGGCCCTGGTTTCCCTTACCCACTACTCCACCTAAGGATGCTTGGTATGGACTTGAGACCCCTGCAGCCAGAGAAGGAAGAGCCCTGTTTGATGGGGGACAGCTGGCTCCAGGATTTCCTAAAGATGTAATCCAGAGAGAAGAACCAGGGGAGTCGGTTTTCATAGTCACCAAAAACCATGCCCGGTCCAGACTCTACTCTTAAAGCGCAGGGGCCTCTCGGCAGCCTCAGGGGAGTCTCACCAGCTGTCTGACCACCATCCTCCTCCCCCTTCGGTCCTGCAGATGTCTGAAACAAGCAGGTCCCGTTTAACCTCTGCACAGAAACGGCCAGCGTCTAGGGCCTTATCCGCCGTGGCAGGTCCCACTCTGAGATTCACTCATCGGGCTCGGTCCCTCCTGCTACAATGCAGCTCCCTCACTCACCTTAACCTTGGAAGCATCAAACTCTGCTTCCTTGGGGCGCTCAGGCTCAGGTGCAGCCGCAGGTGCAGCTGCGGGTGCAGCCGCAGGGGCTGGAGCTGCTTTGGGGGCAGCGGCCTTGGCGTCATCCTTCTTGGGCTCTGGCTTTTTGGGGGCCATCGGAGCTGTAATCACAGAGAGGTGGGAAGGAGGGAGGATGGAGAGAGTAGGGTAGGTGAGTCTTCTGCCACCCTGAGCTTTATCTTACCCATATACCTCATGACCCCAGCCCCACCCCTACCATGCACAATAGGGACAGGGCCATAAAAGGGCATTGGCTCTGCTCAAGGGGCTATTTTGGGTCCTGGAGAGGGCATTGTTCAGGCCCAGGAATGGGGAGGGGAGGGGAGGGTGCACCATTCCCCCAGTCACCTGTTGGGGAGAGGGAGGGAGAGGGAGACAGAGGCCATTGCTCAGCCTGTGCTCTGAGCACACAGACACAGACAGACAGACTCACACACACACACACACACACACACACACACACACGGAGCTACTCTTCTGCAGACCAATAAGTTTTGGACAGGTAAAGGTTAGAAAAGTGTGAGTTGCATGCTTTGCACCATGGTAGAGGCTACAATGTCCTGAGGGGCACTCTTGAGTTAAACTGCACCTGAGCATCCCAGGTCCTGTGTTCAAGAGCAAGGGGTGGGGGTAGATGTGGATCTCTGTCCAGGCCTCTTTCCAGGTAGGGGATCCCAGGCCGTGTGGGTGGTGGGAGGTCTCTGGACATTTGTATATGTTGTCAGGGTGCCTCCGTGCCAGGGTCTGTGAGTGCCAGGCTGGGTCTGGGAGAAGGGTCTATGTCTTGTCTTTGTGGGTCTGTTTCCAGGTGTTCACGTTCACATGTGTCTGTGATGGGACCCCTGTGTGTTTGTGTCTGGTTGTTTAGATGTACTGGCGTATGAGTGTCTAGCTACAGCAGACAGCTACAGCCCAGTCCCAGGGTCCCAGGGTCTCCAGGAACACCCCCAGCGCAAGCAGAAAGGGTGGTGCTCCCCCGAGGACTGTCCTCCATGCTAGTTCAACGGCTCCTTTTACAGCTCCTGCCAACCCGAGACTAGTGTCTCAAGTTTCACACCCTTTGCTTCTCTCTGCCCTCCCTATGATGCCCAGTGTCCATCTTCCCCCACATACTCCAGGGTCCAGCCTCTTGCTCACCCCTAGTTCCCACTGTACCTTCTGTCTCTCCCTGCTTGCCCCTCCATTTGCCCCCTCTGAAGCTTCCTGCTGCCACTCTTCCCATTATCCCATG